TGTATGCAATTCAGTAGGCAGTAAGGGATTAAAAATTGCTAATATGGGTCTTGAAGTTAATTTTGCTTTAATCATTTTAAAGGCTAACTCTTGTTCTCTAGTCCAGCACCAAGGCACATTACTTCGGGTTAATTTTGTCAAAGGTTCCACTACTTTAGCATAATTTTCTACGTATCGTCTAAAATAACCAGACAAGCCCAAAAACTGACGCACTTGCTTAACCGATATCGGTGGTTTCATATGCATAACTGCTTCTACTTTAAATTTACTTGGCCGAATACCTAAAGCACTCACTTCGCGTCCAAGATATTCTATTTCCGAACGGAAAAATGCACATTTTTTTAACTTCAAAGTTAAGTTGTGTTGACGAAATCGTTCTAAAACTAATTTTAATCGTTCTAATCCTTCTTCTATTGTCTTGGATGTTATTATGACATCGTCCATGTATGGAAGCGCTATTGAGTTTTTAAGAGGACCTAAGACGGTATTCATTAGGCGTTGAAAACATGCGGGGGCGTTTGATACTCCAAATGGCATTCTTAAGAACTCATAGAGGTTATCTGGAGTGACGAACGCTGTTTTAGAAATTGACTTTTCTTCCATGCCGACTTGATAAAAACCCACGGTTTATTTTATAGACGATTTCAGAAAAAAATATATAATCATCGAAACTATTGTTTTCGGGTTTATCCGACTTCCAAGTAACAGGAAACATGAGAAATAAAATCCTTCATGTATGGCATTCTATATAGTGGCCCAAAAATATGTCAAAATTTTTAAATTTTTTGTAAAAACTAAAAATTTTAAATTTTAAAAAAACTTCCTTTGAGGATAATAAAGCGTTTAATTTTAAGTAAAAAACGTCTTATAAGGTTTTCTGTAGACGCTATAGTTTTGTTATAAAAAATTTCTGATTTTTTTTACTTCACAAAATAATACATAATAATCATATTCAATTAACTTAATAGGTTTTAATGTCCAAATAAATACATGTAATTATATGTGCTGGCTATTATAATAACAAATACTCCTTAACAGTTTTTCTTTAAAAAATTGCAAATTCCTTGAATTTAAATTAAAATTTTTTGAAAACGTTAAAATAGTGATGCACTTATTCTGACGCTTGTTCAGAAAAAAGGCAAGTGCTCGTTAATATTTTTCAATGAACTCTGGAACATGATGAACTAGGGCATGCATTTTTGTTGTGTACCGTACTCCGACTTTAGATAGTTCTACTGCGAAACGTTGAATATTTTCGGCATACTTAGAGATTTCCTAAAGCAACTGGAAACTACTTCGTCAAAATACTTAAAACAAATTGAGGTATTTGTTTCCTAAAACCATATGTATAAACTTTAATACATTAAAGACGAATATATATATCGCACATGGGCGACAACAGTGTCATAAGTTTTTTATTATTTTATTGTTGAATACGAATATGACGAACGTATGACTGGCCCCATCGCCAACGCCTTATACTGATTTCCCAGGGTTATTTTAGTTCTCCCACGTATCCCGCCACTGCACAGCATTGCCTGTGTTTGGTGGAGCCGAATTTTTACCCCGGCTGGTAAATCTCGCCTAGAAGGCCGTAAATGACAGTGTCGATGGTTAAGGCCTCTTAAAGAATTTTTTCGCCTAGTCCGCTAGTGGAGTGCGGAAAAGGAGGGAAAATATTTTTGTTTTTGAGGGACATTGAACTGACCCAAAACCAAGTACAATCCAGGTAATACTGAGACCATCCATCCTGGATTAAAGCAATGGCTCTGGAAACATCAGTCGGAGACATACCCATTTTTAAAAGTAAGAAAACACCTTAAAAGTAACACATTAATTTACAAAAAAATGTCCAAGTATGGGATGATTCAACAAAACAATCACTGTCATCCTCCATAGGCTATGGGTGGACCATAGCAACCTTAGTTCTTCGAACAAAAAAATATTGGAAAATGCAATGTTGTTTTGCCACTTTACAGAGTGTCTTAAACTTATGGTAAAAAACATCTTTTTGTTTAAACCTGTATATTATAAACGTTCGTCTATTTTTAGTAATTTTTTGAAATGTAAGCGATTCTCCATTAATTTATCCACAATATTGTTTAATATTCGTTTAAATCCGAAATCAAATAAAAAAGTTATTTGCGATTGAAATTCATCGAAAATTTGTGTGGATCGATTATTTTGCCTGTGAGTGTAAGTAAGATTTTTTTTAGAACAAAACTATAGGATCTACAAAAAACTTTTTGAGACGCTTTTAACTTAAAATTAAACGCTCTATTATCCTCGAGATTATCCTTAAAAAAAGTTTTTTTTAATTTAATATTTTTAGTGTTTAGAAAAAATTACAAACTATTGACATATTTTTGGGCCACTATCTAAAATGCCCTACATGAAGGATTTTAATTTTCATGTTTCCTGTTACTTGGGAGTCGGACAAACCCAAAAACACAATTTTCGATGATTATATATTTTTTTTCTGAAATCGTCTATAAAATTAACCGTGAACCATTAGCTGAATCTAAGCTTGTAAAATATTTTTGACCTCCCAAGCGATCTAACTGTTCCTCTATAAGGGGAAGAGGGTATCTGTCTTTAACTGTAACGGCGTTTAGGCGTCTATAATCTATTACCATCCTGTAATCACCGGTTTTCTTTTTAACCAATAACACAGGGCTGGCATACGGGGAGTTTGACTCTCTTATGATATTGTTTGTAAGAAGTTCTTCAATAATTTTCTGTAAAATAACTTTTTCTGACACTGACATACGATATGGTTGGTGATAAATAGGTTCTTCAGTCGTACATTTAATACTAAATTTTACAGAATTTGTCTTTCCTAAATTTTTAGTGGACGTTGTTATCCGGTCTTTAAATTCGTGTAACAACTTTAAACATTCGATTTTAGCTTTGTCAGGTATTTTACCAAAATCTACATCGTCCCACGCGCCCACATCGCAACATGTATTTGGTTTTGGAGATTCAGCTAAATAAATGTTTATTTTTTCACCAGTTTTCACTAATCTTACTGTCGGTAAGTTTAAAAAGTCACAACCGATTATACAGTCATAAAGCATCTCACTAACTACTATAGCATAAACATCCGCGTTGACATCACCGATACGCACGTTTACTTTAGCGATTTTATTGCTTAGCACTTGATTTCCAGAAAAACCTTGTAACAATGTAGTCTTTGTTTCTTTTACTAATCCTAGTTTATCACTTACACTTTCTTTAATTAATGTTTTAGAACTGCCTGTGTCTATTAAACATTTTATAATTTCACCGTTTATTTGCACTTCTGCTATCGGAGGATTGTTTATATTTTTATTATTAGATGTATGTTCTAGTCATGAGTTCTGATATTTAACGTTTAAGTTTGGACACCTATTTTTAAAATGCCCTGAACGGCCACAATGGTAACAAACACTTTTACTGCACTCGGATATGCGATGAGGACCCTGGCAATTATAGCACTTAATCACTTGTTTTTCTTTCTTTGTCGGCCATTTAGCAGATTTGTCCGTATTCCATAATTTTCTGTTTATATCTACAGTTTTTGAACCTTGCCACTTCATCGTAGTGAGAAAAGAATAAAGTTCCACTGTATTCACTAACCTGGATGATTTAGCGGCTCTGACTATATTCTCGTCCGGTATTCCCTCAATAACGGCATCTACTAAATGTGCTTCAGGTATTTTTAATTGCAAAGCCCCTAGTTTCTGAAGTTTTTTAAAGCAGTATTCAGAAAGATCTTCACCTACTTTTGCTTCATAAAGAGTAGCTTCTTTAAGAAGTTTCGCGAAAGGTAGTGGTTTATGAAACTGCTTAACTAATATTCTTTTTATTTCACTCCACTTTTTTATAATATGATTTTGAGAATCATACCACATTCTAGCCAAACCAACTAGTCGGGAGGTCGCAAACTTACTTGTAATTGCGGAATTCCAGTGGTAGTGTTTTGCCAATTCATCTACGCACTGTACCCATTGTTCGACAGATTTTTCGTCATTTTTTGGGTCGTAACGGGGAATTACTTTTTCATCAATGCCCTTAAAATAAACATAACTGCTGTGTTTAAATTTGGAGGGCTTATTTTTTTTCTTTCGGGCTTCTTTTTTATTTTTGCGAATTTGTTTTCGTTTCTTTCCACACGAAGAAGAACTACTTGTACTAGATGTAGAATTCGAACTACTCGATGATGTTGACGATGATGAACTTTTACTTCTTTTTCTTTTTGACGATTTGGCTGTTGAGGTTGGCGGTAGATTTTCCGGGGTAATGCGCATTTCTTCAGTATCTGTTAAATCAGCCATTATTTCCAAACCACTTAAACGTTTTTAGGCACTTTTGAGTAAATATCCCACTTCTGATTTGTAAGAAAAACTTCAAAATAAAGTTTAATACATATATTAAACGACACTTTATTAATAACAAAACTATTCAGTAAGAACGCTGCTTCCTGACTGCCTATTTCTTCTCACGTATACGATGTGTTATAAACACCGTCAGCATTTACGCCCGCTTCTCGTTTAGCGAGCTCGAGTTAAAGGTCTCCAAATATTTATCTTACAATCGTTTAGGACTCGCAAATATAGCACCAAATATTTAACTATGTGAAAAGAGGGCCGAATTTTAGAAGAAATTATAAGCAATGAAGCAGTACAGGGGGCGACTACCACCATCGGCGACTCGGGAGGCCATGGCAGAAATAATAAAGTTATTTAATTATCTTGACATATTAAAAACTAAACTCATATTGCCAATATTGTAAACTAAACTGTGATAGAAATTGTAAATAAATATTTTTGATTTTTGATTGATTTTTTTTGGTCCTCGTCAGAGTTTTCATCTCAAAGAAAAGTGTTCGAAAAACCAAGAAAAAGTGATCAAAAATTCGCGAAAATCGCACAAGTGATATAGACAGAGACTAAAATAGTATGTAGTTTAGTTTTAGTGTAGATAGTGCCTTTTTTCGTGAAAAGTGCGAAAAAGTTCAGTCACCACGAGTGACAGCCAAAAAGTGGTACCGGGTGGACCCTTTAAAAGTGACATCGATGGGAACTACAACCAGCCCTACGCGCGGGTCGGATGCTTAGGCAGAGGCCGCGGAATTAAAATCAAACCTAAGTGCAGTGATGAAAATCAAAAACTAACCAGTGAGTCCCAAAATATACCAAAAACAAGTTTCAAAAACACCAAAACGCATAGTGAGGATCCTGCGAAAAGTAGTGCGCCATCTACCAGTGAGTGCCCCAAAACTGTTGAAATCCGCGATGGACATTATGACAGTCCCAAAATAGTGACACTTAGGAAACCAAAAATTAACATTCTCAGTGAAATAAGACTAGACCAGAGCAGGAATAAACAATGTCCCTTAAACTCAAGTGAAAGTGGTGTAAACAAATTTTATGACACAAAAACAAACAAACAAATAAAAAGAAAAACGCCACCTAACAACGAAAAGGAGAACCGTCCACCAAAAAAGGTGGATATCTGCAAGCCAGAACCAGCCCCCATAGAAGAAGGAAACTACAATCCTGACATTCAAATTGAAGCCCTATCTACCGGTGAGATTCTAAATGAAGTAAGGTCAGCTGTAGGACCGAAAAATTAGCCGTGTTACGCAGTGACAAGGAAGATCGCTGTAACACGGCTAGCAAAGCGCAGGGCGACAAAGAAGATCGCTGCAGCTTGGAGAATCGTTGCGACGAAGAAGATCGCAGATTCTCTATCAACAGAAATCCTACAGGAACCTATAAAACAAAAATACCCGGAATTGTGGTCAAAACGCATAAAAGGCGACACCTATCGGAAGTCGGTAAAATACCTAAAAAGAAAAAGAAGAAAACTAAACCAAAAATGCAAGATCCTAACAATACAAAAATTACCGAAAATCAACCCCAAACTGTGGCAGATGATCATGTACCCCCACCGGATCATCCCCCTGCATCCACCCAAGTAAATCCACAACAAATTGCATCACAACTAAACGAAAACACACTTAAATTAGTCGGAAATTTATTCGGCGGAGAACCCGTAGCAGAAGCTGGAACAAAGACATTTACCGCCAATACCTTCTGTGCTCCTGGTAGCTCAAATGCAGATAACTTGGGAAATAACGGCCCAAATGACTTTGTACATCCTAGACGGACCATTCCCTTTAAGAAAATAAGTAATACAAAAAATTCAACACCCCAATTACCCCTGAATAATAAATATCAGGGATTAAACATCGAAGAAAATCAAAATACTCTTATGGAACAGGATGAAATAACTGAAAATGAACCTGAACAGCAAACTACCAAAAACAAGAAACAAAAAACCATACCACCCCCACCCCTCATCATTGCAGCAAGCTTTGAGAACCACAATGAAGGGATAAGAGGGTTAAAACAAGTCATAAAGGGAGAATTCTCCCTAAAATACACAAAAAACAATATGGTTTTAAATGTAAAAGATATAAACGACTACAAAGGGATGCTTGAGGTATTGAACGAGCAAGACCAAGAATACCACACGTACTCCCTCCCATCGGAAAAAACTCACGCTTTCATAATGAGAGGGATGGACGCACCCCAAGTTCAACTAGCAGAAATACAAGAAGAGCTAGAAAAAGAGCATGACATCAAAGTACTCAACTTGTTCCAATTAAATACTAAATTTAGGCCCCTATTCATGCTTGTGACAGATGTGGCAGTCACCCTCCCTTACCTGAATAGAGAAGTCCGATACTGCTTGAATACCCGTATATTCTGGGAATTACGTAAACAGGGAAGAAGAAGAATACAATGCCACCGTTGTCAGGAATGGGGGCACGCCACAGCAAATTGCAGAAAAAGCTTTAGATGCATGAAATGCGCCAAAGATCACAACACAAGGAAATGCACAAAACCAAAACCGACCCAGCAACCTGCATAAACTGCGGAAAAAGCCACCCAACTTGCTCCGTAGATTGCGATGTATACAAATATAGAGTCGCACAGCTGGAAAAAAGAAAAGGCATACTACCGGAAAAGTCCAAATACGAACCAGCCCCCCAACCAACCACCAACATCTGGAAACAGCGCATGGAACAAGCCCAGGCAAGAAGACAGGAAACGAACCAGCAACCCCCGCAAAATTCTCACAACCCTCCCAATACTAATTCAAACAACACAAACACGAACAACCCCCAAGGAAGCTTTGGCGAATTGGTTTCTCAATTTAACACATTAAACGGTAGGTATGATTAGGGCCGTCAAAGAATTGAATAACAGAATGAAAAATGTCACAAATGAAACTGACAGGTTTGTGAAATTTTACGAATTCATCACAAACGACTTAAAACAATACAACATTTAAATGTTCCCCCAAAACAATACAAACATAATTTTGTGGATTGCAAATTCCATAAAATACAAAAAACCCTCCCTTATCAATTTCCTTAATACCAATCAAGCAGATGTAGTAGTAATTAATGAAACAAAATTAAAACCAACTGATAAACTAAAAATTAAAGGATATATTGTACATCGGCAAGACCGTCCTAACGCCCAACGTAGCGGAGGGGTGGCTGTTGTAATAAAGTCTCACATCCCCAATACTCGCCTTAAACAAAAAATATCATCAATAGAGCATATCATAATTAAAATTAACAATATACATGTAATTGCCACGTACAACCCACCATCAAATAAATTTTCCGCACTTGACATCTCCAACTTAATTGACAGCTTCGATAAGGCCATTTTGCTCGGTGACTTAAACGCCACAAATAAATTATGGAAGTGTCGTAGAAATAACAAAAACGGCACCACATTACTAAACTTCATCGATAATTCAAACACCCTCCTTCAATACCCAGAAGACTTCACACACTACCCTTCTAATAACATGCGCCCTTCTATAATCGATCTGGCCATAGTCAAAAACGTTGTGTTAAACGAAACGCCCCAAGTCATTTACGAAATGGATTCAGACCATCTGCCGGTAAAATTTGTTAAAAAAAAAAAATCGACCCACCCCCGCCCCCAAAAATTCTCCATATTATTATAATATATATATATATATATATATATATATAATATATTATAAAACAACAAACTGGAAAAAATTCCGTGAAATCTTAAGCAGAAATACCATAATAAAAAATAACATGCAAGATAACCATCAAATTGACACCGAAATTAATATACTCACAAAAAACTTGCTCAAAGCTAGAGAAACAACAACAAAGCAAATAAAAGTCAAGCCTCCCCTAGACGACATTCCTGTCACTGACAGGCTGTCAGCACATTAGATAAAATTAAAAATAAAAACAAGTTTAAGAGATTATATTGCAAACACTTAATACAGGAATACAAAGATCAATATAACCAACTCAGAAATGAAATCAGGAACGAAATTAGAACGCACATGAATGAAGTCTGGGGAAGGCTGATAAATAACCTCAAAGCTGCGGATAATAGCCTCTGGGTCGTAATAAAAAACCTTCAACAGAAACCAACCATCCCCACATTAAAATCAAATGGTACTGAATACATAACAGACTTGGAAAAAGAGCAGATACTGGGTGAAAACTTCAGTAAAATTCACACGTTGGATTTTACCACCCTAACAAACTCGCACCGCAATATAATAGTTTCTAGTGTAGTGAAAACCAGGATTTTCAATTGCTTTTAGTGTCACGTGGCAAAGTGACGGACAAGAATGTGGTGGTACAGGGTGGACGCTTAAAAAGTGACAACGCGAAAACAGTGAAATCGCCGTATGCGCGGATAGGATGCCTAGGAAGAGGTCGAGGCATTTCCACCAGCAATAAAGAAAACGACTCAGTGACTTAAACAGTGCCTAAAAACTCAAAAACAGTAGTGAAAGTTTTAAGTGACATTTCCATAAACCAGAGCAGCAATAGATATGCAGCCATAAACGAAAGTAACACAGTGCGACATCTAGCGCGAGAAGAAATATTCCCGCCGCTGGCTCTCATAGAAAACTGTAAGTCTCAAGATACAACATGCTGAGAACTTCATAAGTGAATACGACACTGAAAACCTGCCACCTAGCGGCGAAATCCTCAACATAGTCGGAAAAAAAGTAGGACTTCCTACCATCTCATCATCCACACAGCAGATTCCTTCCACCGAAGCTAACACCAAAGTGCCACGTTGCAACAAAGAAATTTGCAGTGGCGCCATCTCGAGTTGTTGCGACAAAGAAAATTGCAAACTCGCCATCAAGAAGGAATCTGCAGCCCCCTCAAAAGAAAAACCAGTTTCTTACTTCTACAATTTCTCTGAACCAGAAGACCACCATCTAGCCGCAAGTAGCAGAAAAAGGCGCAAGAAAAAGAAGAAACCTGTTTCCGAGCACGACTCAGATACCAGTAATAACTCCTGTGCTCCTGATAATTCTAATACCAAAAGAAGTAGTAAACAACCCAAAACTACCCCGAAAATGGACTAAAATCAAAAAGACCCTTTTACGGGGTACGTTCAAAAAGTCGATGATGGTGAAAACCTAAAAAATCCCACAATAACCCCAGTAACCAATGAAGGAGAGCCAATCCAACCCCAAAAATCCCTAGTCCAATTCCATTATTTAATTAACCACGTCATAAAACTCCAACATTTCCCATCCCAATGGAAGGAAGCTTTCATTATCCCCATCCCAAAACCCAACAAAGACCATTCCCTCCCCTCCAGTTATAGACTTATAAGTTTGTTATCCACTATTTCAAAAGTTGCTGAGCGCGTTATTTTAGATCAGATAAACAAATGGGACAGAAAATACAAAATTACCCCAAACGAGCAGTTTGGATTCAGACCCAGGCACGGGACTGTGCACCAGGCCGTGAGGGTCGTTCACGACATCCAGCGGGCGAACAACCGTGGCCAGAATACGGTCATGGTCCTGCTGGATGTCGAGAAGGCCTTCGATAAGGTCTGGCTGGCTGGCTGGTCTCGTGTGCAAACTTCAGCAATTTCGCCTCCCCCCTCCCCTCCTACACCTCCTAGCTTCATACCTAAAAGATCGCAGCTTCGAGGTCAACTTAAACAATACCTTCTCTCAACCAAAAAAGATTAAAGCCGGCGTCCCACAGGGTACGGTGCTTGCTCCCAAATTATATAGTTTATTCACGGCTGATGTCCCGAAAAAACAAACCAAACTAGGACTGTACGCGGACGACAGCCCTAGTAAAACAAAATGTATGTCCATCCCGGCTGGCAACCAAACTAGAGACCCTAGAATAAAAATAGACAGACAGAACATAAACCTGCAACACACAATCAAATACCTAGGGCTAGTAATAGATAAAAAACTAAACTGGATGGAAAACATCAAGGAGCAGAGACTGAAAGCCATTCCAATGGGCATGAAACTTCAGCGAACCACCGGCAAAACATGGGGAGCATCACCAGACATAAGGAAGGCACTATTCGAAAGAATAGTGTCTCCCATCATAACCTACGGAAGCGAAATATGGGGAGACAAAGCACAAATAAACCAGATAAAAAGATAGCTAGACACCACCCAAAGGCCATTCCTGCTAAGCATATCCAGAGCCTATAGAACCACACCAACAAGCGCACTGCAAGTGTTGACAGGATGCCCGCCACTAAACCTAGTAGCCAAACATCAAAACAGGTTGCTCGATAGAGCAGAGAAAGATTGCAGAAATGTCGACAGACCTCACCCGTAAGAAAGATACAAGCACGATACAAGCACGGATAGAGTAGCAACAAAAAGAATATACGTGGACGGTTCAGTCAAAGATGGTAAAGCAGGAATTGGAATCAGGGCGATAGAAGATAATAGAGTGACAGAAAGGTCACTAAGGCACAACATCCACGCAAGCCGAGACGTGATTCCTCCAAGTAACTCGCCTTATGCAAGCCCTATAGTTCTTGTTGCTAAAAATTAGATTATGTATAGACTATCGCGAATTAAACAAAATAACCATTAGGGATAATTTTCCAACTCCCCTTATTGATGATCATTTAGAGGAATTAAAAAATAAAAGATTCTTTACTAGTTTAGACCTTAAGAGTGGGTTTTATCACGTTAGGATGGAGGATTCGTCCGTTAAGTATACTTCTTTTGTTACACCCATTGGACAATTTGAATTTTTGGCTATGCGGTTTGGCTAATTCCCCTTGTGTATTTCAAAGATTTACAAAAAAAATTTTGGTCCCTTAATAAAAGAAAATAAAATATTATTGTATCTAGATGATATACTTATTGCAACCGACGAAATTGACGAACACTTAGATATTCTGAAGAAAGTTTTTACCCTGGCCAGACAATACAAGTTAAATTTTAGACTGGATAATTGTTTTTTTCTCCAAAGCGAAATAAAGTATTTGGGCTATTTAATCGACAAAAGTGATGAGCTCGCTAGATATTTTGCAGCGGAATACAGGACTACTATCACTCCAGCACAGACTAGGGAGAAGTTCTTCAAAAATGTGGGTCTCATTGAGGCCTCTGGCACTGTCGCCAGATGGCTATCAGCTGCAGCCCCATGGTGTAGGGACAGAGTGGCGGAATTGCGGGGGGATGATGCCACGGTGACTGCCGCACTTAGGATCATAGATGACCTAAAGTAATAGTCTGAGAGCTTGGCACCCTTCTAGCTTGGCTCTACTCTTGCTCCTTTGTCCCTTTCTTTTTCCTTTACTTTCTTTTTTTCCTCTTTTCCCTTCTCCCTTCTGCTCTCTTCCCTTTCCTTTGTTCCTTCTTGCTTCTTCTGTTTCCTTTCTTTCTTTCCCAAAAAAAAAGGGATTGTCGCACTTTTAACTTTTACATTTCCCGAATGCGACTGACAACCTAACCTATTTACAGAACTAACATAACCTAACTTACTACCTCCTACTAAACGCGAACAAACTTTGACCTTTGATCTACGATAAGGTATACTGCGGTCAGTATTAAAGTATACCTGGCAATTTAGTTTTTTTAACAGACGTTACATGCTCTGACTGTAACATCAGGCTCACCACACTTAAAGCAGAATGTTTTTCTAGGTTTCTTACAACTAGAAAATATGTGGCCTTCTTCACCACAATTCCAGCATTTATATCCGGAAACTGAATTTACATGGACTTTACCAGTACTAGGACGATAGTTTTTACTAGATGAGGTTTCGAAATATGTTAAGACTGGTTCCAGCAACTTGGAATGACAAAAAAATTTTTACTCACCGGTGAGATTTGAAACCAAATCAATAACTATAACATGAACTGCAAAGCAGTAAACGATAAGAAAGTCTGCTAAAGTAAAAATTCAACATACACTGCCTAACAAAACTACGTTACGTTCCTCTGTTCTATCGATCTTACCCTACTGAAATGTTCGAATTTGACCCAAAGTATGGTTTGATCTTAGAAACATGCCATACTCCTGCATTTGTACCATCAGGATACTCAAGTTCATAGGTTACCTTAGAGACACTTCTCTTAACAATGCAAAGTTTGTATTTGCAATCTAGTTTGGCACTAAAATTCTTGGAGGCATCACTAAGTACAAAATTTCTTTTCCAGACTTTTTCGCCTGGTTTAAATACGATATCTCGCTTTCGAAGATCAAAGACATGGCGATTTTTTTCGTAGGCAAGGGACATTTTATTTTTTATTTCGGAGTAAAGCTCTGGAAGTTTTGATAGTTCATCCACATAGGATTTAAAACCGGTATGCCCTAACTCTGAACCTGATATCTTAGGTATCTTACCATAATATTCTCCTGTCAAAGGTACAACTCGACCAAAATTTAAAAAAGTGCCTCCGATGTGGATGAACGAATCGCCGCCGCTATTTTATGGAGTTTGTCCCAATCTTTATGTGATGTTTTGTCTTTGATATAACTTCGTAGAGCGGTACCGACTACTCTATTAATCCTTTCACTAGGATTTGTCCTAGGATGGTATTTGCAATTAAACCAGATTTTTTGTACTTTGTAATCCTCACAAAGTTGTCTAAAAACTTTGCCAGCATACTGGGTGCCGTTATCAGCAATAATAAATTGAGGTACCCCCCAAAACTGAGAAAACCTGATTTTCCATGAACTTGACTATTTCCTGAGCAGTGGCATGTCGCATTGGGTGTAATAGAACAGATTTGGTAAACCAATCCGAAACTAGGAGTATATATGAATTTCCACCTTTGCTACGGGGTAACGGTCCATAAATGTCTGTAGAAATAATCTGCCAAGGAAAACTAGCTCGGTTTTCAGTTCCCATTTTACCATGAGTTCTCAGAGAAAATCACATTGACGGGTATCGATACAGTGAGCTGAATCAGAGTTGTGCAAAAGTGACGTTGATTATTTTCCGTTTGTGTGATTACAGAGGAGAAAAGGGTGGAATATTCCCAGAGAGGCTAACCAGGGCGATCCAGTGGTTACGTGTGAGGCTATTGACCTTTGTAGAGAAATCAGGATTCAGAGCAGTTACTGTGGCCACACGGGGGACAGGGCAGCTTAGCAGTGATTTAGAGTCAATTGCAGAAGAGAGCCCAAACTTTGAGACATTTGAACAATCCGCATTCAGATTAATCTACAGAAGGCTAGGCTACGTCCCAAGATATCTAAGAGGCTTGGTGAGAAGGTTGTGGAGCAAAACACACAGGATGGACGACTACTGGAGCCATCTAGTGGATGTGCTAAAGGGAGAGCCAGTGCTGAAGGCCTGGGTGGATACAGATGGTGAACGTAAAGCCCTTGTAAAGTATGAGACGGAGATCCTCGCTCAATGGGCTTTGGTGTTGGAGTATGAGGGGTTCAATGTAATACACCTCTTGAAGTTGCTTCGTCAGCAGTTTTTAAACTACGTTGCAGATGACAAGGCATTCTCGGTGGAGTACCAGGCTGCGGGTGTAAAGAAGACTTTTTCATACACCAATAAAGAAAAGATGTCCACAGACATCAAGATGATCATCATGTTGTTCTGCCAGAGAGGAAATGATGTGGCCAAGGTCTCAGGGAAGAGCAAGGAGGGGATAAAAGGCCTGTTGGACATGCTAGTGACAAAATACAACATTGACAGTGTAAAGCATGCAGCTGGCACCACTTTGCCTCCTGATGTCATCACAATCCCCCGCATAGTAGCCTGTTTTCCTCCATTCTCATGTGAGCTATTCCACCATGGCCAGGCTAGGAGGATGTTTGAGTTGAGTGATCTGAACATAACAACTGAAGGTGCTAGTGCTGCCCTATTATGCCCAACCATGGGTTGCTTGTACCCATCAAAGTTCATCACTTTGGGGACTACCAACATCCTTCATGTTGCATTCCTAGTGGCAGTGAAAGTGGACCAGATCATCTACTCGAAGAAACACGATTTGACCAGGCTTGATGAGCTCGCTAGATATTTTGCAGCAGAATACAGGACTACTATCACTCCAGCACAGACTAGGGAGAAGTTCTTCAAGAATGTGGGTCTCATTGAGGCCTCTGGCACTGTCGCCAGATGGCTATCAGCTGCAGCCCCATGGTGTAGGGACAGAGTGGCGGAATTGCGGGGGGATGATGCCACGGTGACTGCCGCACTTAGGATCATAGATGACCTAAAGTAATAGTCAATAGTCAATTAGTAAAATCTACCCAATTTTCAACAAAAGTAGTGCTCTATCAATAGAAAATAAAACCATATTATACAAAACAATTATACGGCCAGCCATCCCGTATGCATGCCCAGTATGGTGCTCTATCTTAAACACTTCATACACACAAATACAGAGGCTACAAAATAAAACACTACGGCACGTAACGGGCGCAGGACGGTACGAACCGATTGACAATATGCATGAAATATCAAACATTGAATACATAAGAGACTTCATGATCCATCATGATCCATCAATCCAACACGAAATATTACAGACATAAGAATACATCATAATATAAAATACAAACATCGCTTGATCTACGGAAACCTACCCATCTTCCACGAACTATGTCAATTGTTTCAAAAGGGTTTTTATTAAATTTTTCCCTTAAATATAAAACCCTAAACCTATAACTACAAAATTCTTTGACGAACTATAGATAAAGCGTACTGATCTGCCACAAATTTCTTTGTGGCATAACAGCCTGTAATGCCACAAAGAAATTTGTGGCAGATCAGTACGCTTTATCTATTCGCGACAACACGGGTTCTTCCTGTTTGTGTTGTTGTGCACACAAACTGTGTATGTTATGTATTGTATTACCATTTTATATTATGTAATATTCATAGTTGATATATGTATTTATAAAATCTGTGATATTTTAATTGTTAATAAATTATTTTTGAATTTGAATTTGGTGCTATACAGGGATGGTAATGTGCTCTTAGGCCGTTTAATAAATAAAGACAAATGCATTATGAGACGTGGGAGTGGTGGAGTGACGTAAGAGTAGTGGGGCAAGCCAGACCGCGCCGCGCGGCTACGATCATCGCCCGACCGCAGACAAGAGCAGGGGGGTGAAACCTGAATGCGCAAATGAGAAACACTGGCCCTGTGAGCGACGTTGTCATATATCCATTTTAAGTCTAGAATTTACCACGTGTAAAATAAAGTTAAAATTATTTTTAAATAAATGTCAATTGTTTCAAAAGGGTTTTTATTAAATTTTTCCCTTAAATATAAAACCCTAAACCTATAACTACAAAATTCTTTGACGAACTATAGATAAAGCGTACTGATCTGCCACAAATTTCTTTGTGGCATAACAGCCTGTAATGCCACAAAGAAATTTGTGGCAGATCAGTACGCTTTATCTATTCGCGACAACACGGGTTCTTCCTGTTTGTGTTGTTGTGCACACAAACTGTGTATGTTATGTATTGTATTACCATTTTATATTATGTAATATTCATAGTTGATATATGTATTTATAAAATCTGTGATATTTTAATTGTTAATAAATTATTTTTGAATTTGAATTTGGTGCTATACAGGGATGGTAATGTGCTCTTAGGCCGTTTAATAAATAAAGACAAATGCATTATGAGACGTGGGAGTGGTGGAGTGACGTAAGAGTAGTGGGGCAAGCCAGACCGCGCCGCGCGGCTACGATCATCGCCCGACCGCAGACAAGAGCAGGGGGGTGAAACCTGAATGCGCAAATGAGAAACACTGGCCCTGTGAGCGACGTTGTCATATATCCATTTTAAGTCTAGAATTTACCACGTGTAAAATAAAGTTAAAATTATTTTTAAATAAAACATATTTTAGTCATTATGTATTTTATAATTTTGTTGTTTTATATATGTAGTTAAGTTATTTAGTTGAAATTTGATTAAATTGTTTTAACCAATAAATCGTTCAACAATGTTAAGTTTAAATTAAAAACGTCTTGCCGTATCTTGCCGTATGTTGCCAAATGTCCGTTTGGCATTCTATTTATGAAACGATATTTTAATTATTATTAAATTGTAATCTATTTTATTAATTTTTAATTGATTATTATTATCATATGTGATGTTTTCTTTAATATTACATATAAAATAATTTTATTTATTAGGGATTTACAAATATATTTTTTAACCCTAAATCGTACAACACTGTTAACCAACGGATTCTTGTTGTTACGAAGTTTTCGTTTGTGTTATTGAAATACAGATTTTTCTTGTGTAAAACGCTTATTATTGAAGTTTTATTAAAGAATTGTGTTCTTTTGTATCCACAGTAAGTATTGTAACGGTTTTTTAAATTGAGGTTTTAATAAAAGTAATTTAAACTGTAGTAAGTCATTTATTTTGTATAATTATTTGCCAAAAATTAGGCAACCCAGTTAACATAATCATATCCTTCACTTATGCGTTGTGTAAAACAATGGGTACAGGCGGTACATTTTTGTAACCTAAAAGAGTGTTGTCATTATTTTCACTGTTTGTTCAAATTTAAATGATTTTCCAAAAGAAATTGAATGATTTAATTCATGAGATGTTGTTTTTGATGCTAAAATACAAGAAGTCGTTAAATTGTGTTAAAATGGAATTAAATAAATTAGTTAAATTACCTATTTTGAATTTTTTTTTTGTAAATTAATTCTTGACGGGTGGCGCTTTGGAGAGGTATTCCGGAAATGAAAGGAGCCATTTTAATTGAAGCTCTAGGCACGATAATAAAGGGAGAACCAAAATTTATCGTAAAAGTTTTAATTATTTGGGAATCATACGTTTAAAATAAATAAAATCAATTCCAAAACCACTTTAAGGCCACACCAGATCAAAGGTAACCTATATTTTTTGTTATTTCTTGTATTTTATGTAATCTGAGCAATCAATCTCTTTTAGGCCTTCTACTTAAAGTGTGCGTTTTTGTATTGCACCTATATCTCGTGCTTTTTGACTATTATTGAAGCACAGTTATACGTTTGGCATTAATTTATCGCCATAGATTGTGATTACCTGGAAAAAAGCTAACTAAAATTATTTTAAAGAAATAAATACGAACCTGTACCTGTTGTCCACCGTCGCGACGCCACACTAGAGTTTTGTCAAGCAGTGTAACCTACCTGGACCTGTTGTGTAATCCGGATTGTGGGTTGTTACATCTTGTTCGAGTGGCTGGAACCCACTCAACATTACGAAGGAATATTAATAATTTCATATAGTCAAGGGTTGTGACATCTTGTTCGAGTGGCTGGAACCCACTCAACATCACGCAGGAATATTGATAATTTGATAACGTCAACTTAGAGTAAGAATATTCTATTTTTTTGTGTAAGCCGAGTACAATTGTCCAAGGTATTTATTTTTGATTTTCTATTTACCTGTGTTTCAAATGTTGACAATCACATTATAAAATTATTTACTTGGTTTGATGATTTCAAGATATTTAATGTCTATTAAATTTGACCTTGAACTTGAAATTAATTTGTTTTCGTTATAAAAAGAAACTAAAATATCCTTTTTTCCTCAGTCCTATTTTCTGTCAAAAGAATTTCTTTTGGCTGGCGCCCATTTACAAAAATACTTACCACCTAATTACTTACCCACCTCGCTCCCGACTAAGAAAGGCTGTCGCGCATGTGACCGAAATTTAAATTTTAATTGATTTAATAGTGAAGTTTCGCCACAGTATATACAAATAAGTTATTGCTATCATTTTACTATTATAAAGATTATATACTTATTACTTGTGTCTTATAGGTTCTACTTATTTCTTATAGGTTTTATTGCTTATAGCTTTTATTGTTTTCAATTTATGATTATTGTCTCGATTTAAAAGACAATCTATTGAAATAGTTTTTATTCAAATATTGATTTTAATTTTTTTTTTATAAATAGGTCAATATGTGATTAATTTACAATTATTGTACTGTAATGTACCTAACTTATTTATAATACGTAATTTATATTAATTTTTAGGACATTTGTCTATGGTCTTCACGTACTGCTGTCCAAGGTGGAAGGGTCGTGACACATTTTGGATTTTTTTATTTACACACAGTTGTCACGGGCTGAAGAGTGTGTGATATTATTTTTATTTTGGTTGCTGTAAGTTATTATTTATTAAAATTAATTTTATAAAAAAAATTGCTTAAAGAATTAATGTCTAAAGTGATTTTTTTTATGTTCAACATTCATCATTCAACATTTAACAGGTAAGATCCTTTGTAAGTACATTTACTAACTTAAGTTAATAATTATTTGTCAGGCAATCTCTTTTGATTTAAGCGGTAGGGATGGAAGGCAAAATTAAGCTGTCCTGCAAATTTCTTAAGTGCGAAACTGTGCGTCGCTTAGGAAATGGTGAGCAAAAACGGTTTCATGTATTTCCTGCCAACCCTGATATGTGCAAAGTTTGGTAGGAAATTTGTGAAATACCCGAAGGGATAAATTGTAAAAATTTGTATGTTTGTAGAGATCATTTTGCTAATAATGATTACAATAATCCCAATGAGCCACTTAGATCAAAACCAACTTCAATACCTAAAAACCTTTGTTTAATTTCTGAGTCAGAACCTGTAAACCTTTTGTCAGAACAACCAGGTTGTTCTGGTATAGAGATTTCAGTGTCAGAACCAAAAATTATAGAAAGTAAAATTTGTTTTGTTCCCAGCTTCAATGTAGAAAAACCTGTAGATGAATTCAAATTTTTAAATTTTAAATCAACAGGGGGAATACTTGCTCAAGCAGGTTGTAGCAAGGAAACTTTGACACCTTCAGAAAGTTATATGTATAAAATACATAGAAATACAATTTCAAGGGTGTCTAAGTTAAAATCACTTTTAAAAAATGAGCGGGAACAATTTGCCAAACTTAAAACTTTGTACAAACGGGGCAGATTTGAGGCCATTGAGGAAGATTTAAATAGCATTGCAAAGAACTTTATTAATTCCCAATTAAGGAACAGTGGTAAATCCTCCAATGCTAGGAGAGGGACTGTTTAGGATAAGGCATTTTCATTAAGCATATATAAAAGAAGCCCTCGTTTGTACAAATA